TTTAGTATGTTTTTATATTTTAGATACTCTAAGTAGAATTGTAGATCCCAAAGTAATAGGCCTATATAGAGATGATGGACTCATCTTCATTCCCAATAGTAACTTACCACCAACTTGGGCATTTTGTCTGGCTGAGGCATTGAAATGGATAAGTTCTGTAGCAATTGTTTGACTGATGTCAAAGTTAAATTCTAAGTCTCTAATTCTGAGGCAAATACAGTTGATTCACCGGGGTTGAATAAATTCAACATACTTTGTGTTGGCTGAAATAGATCTATCCCCAAATGAGGTAATTTGGGATTTGTTGTGGTATATATATATATATATATATATATATATATATATATATATATGTATAAATAATAAAGAAAATATAACAGCACTCATGGCCTGAGGATTGCATCTGGCATGAAACAGACTGTCACCTCTAAGTGTTGACTTCTATGTTCACTTTTATATTTACACATGCTCTATCTCTGATATTGAGCACTTTATCTCATAAATATAGCACATCTTAAGACTATATTTCTTTATATATATATATATATATATATATATATATATATATATATAAAGAAAAAAGTTACCAATATCTAGAAAGAGGCTTACACAGGAGCAAATTTTTGAATTTGATGTAACTACTACACAGTATTTCACTTTTATTTATCATCACCTGCCTTAATAAAGTCAAATGACAAAATGACTAAGAACTTTTTTCCAATTGTCTTTTTGATCCAATTTGTCTCATATTTGGAGCACCAAGGAAATAATGATGATTTGACTCTGTGTGTGTGTGTGTGAGAGAGAGAGAGAGAGAGAGATGCATCCCAGCAGTAAAAGTCTGAACTAGTAGAACTAGAAAATGGAATTTATCTGAACATTTGCCATGAAAATAGCAATAAAGTAATGACAAGCATCTGTGGGAAAATAGCTGCCTGGTGGAGAATGTCTTTCCCCATCAAGACCATATAAACAAACAGTTCTGGAATCTATCAAAGTTGGTAAGTGAAGACTGAACTACTTCAGCCCAGATATGGCAACAAAACACCATTTTCATTCTAATCTGACTCTTGAATTGGTAAAACATGGCAGGAGGAGTCAGATACTTCCTAGAGCAATATTGTGAGCCAATCATTTTCCCAGCTTCTTTAGCAATAGATTTTTTATATGATATTTGTTTGAAGACTGAAGTGAACTTGACATCCAGTAGATGATCAAAGCATGGAACCTTATTGAGAGCGCAACCATCTATTAGGATTGGAAAAAATGTAGGGTCTAGAATGGGAGGAAACATTATCAGCTTGGTTTTTGAGGTACTGAAAGTAACAAGCCAGGTATTTCACCTTTAGATTTTGAAACTGGTTCAGAGGAGATATCAGCTGCAAGCTTCTGATCACCTTGGCTTTTAGAAGTATGTCTGTAAGTAGTGATATCATCTACATAGATGTGATCTGAGAACGTTCCTTTGTAGATCATTAATAAAGAGCTGAAAGCATTTAGAACTGAGGAGAGAACCTTGATGGATGCCTGCATTGATTTTATGAGCTTTAGAAGATGGACTATTCACAACAAACTTCATGGGCCTAGTTGAGAGAAAGGATATGATAATTACATAAATTCCAGATATACCATAGCTGAGGAGCATGAAACAGGCTGTTGCCACTTTCTGTTAACTTCAGTGTCCACTGTTATATATGTATGTGTGTGCATGTGTGCTTATATGTATGTGTGTGCATGTGTGCTTATATGTATGTGTGTGCATGAGTGCTTATATGTATGTGTGTGCATGTGTGCTTATATGTATGTTTAAGTTGGTGATATTCAGACATTTACAAATGAAAAAGTTCTGAAATTTTATTTGAAATAAAAATTATAAAAAAAATGTAGCAATATATTTTGCAGAATTATTAGAATAGAAAATAAATATTGTTAAGTTTTTCCTATTATACAAAAGATCCGACAGAATTTTGTGAATAAAAAATCTTTAAGAAAATATTTCTTCTGCATAAGTTCATTATAATAGTTTTGAATAATTCTATAAAATATATTGGAATTGTTTTTTTGTTACTTAAATGAAATCTCAATAATTTTTTGAATTTGAATATATCTGAATGTAAACAACGTATCTATTTATACATAAAATATAACACACACACACACAAACATATATGATATATGTGCGAGAGATTTTATTATTGAATTCAATGATTTTTCTCATAAAGTTTTCTGGACATACTTTATTGAGCAATATATTATATAATACATAATAATTATATTATACATATATATATATATATTTCATTGAAAATGACTGACAAGGCACTATGATTAAGGTTTTTGTTAAATTTTTCTTGTATTCACACAAGTGATTTCTTTTTTAGACATAGTTATAAAAAACTGTCCAAACAGATCATTTGGACATTTATTACACACTTTATATCCAGAAAATAAAGAAAAACATAAAAGAGTGATTACTACACACACACACACATATATATATATATATATATATATATATATATATATATATAAACACTCTAATATTTAAGCTATACATATGTAAGTTTCAGCTTATTTTATCTATTCATATTAAAAATATTGATAATAACCAAGTTTGTGGGTGATGGGTTTATGCATGCATACAAAGTGTAATATAATTTTTTATCTATAAATCATTTTTCTAAATACTAAATTTCACACACTACAAGGCTCGAGAGCCACTCAGAGTAGAGGGTTACTGCTAAAAAAGGTTATAATGAAGTATGTGGCATGAATGAATGAAGAGGTGCTATGAAGTGAAGATTATGAGGATAAGGAGGATAAATAACAACTGACAGTGGACTTGAAGTGGTTAAGAGTGCAAAAGTTTTATGCCAGAGAAACATATATTTGATGAACTGAATATCTCAAATACCTGCAGAAATAACTAATTTATGGAATCCTGGACATTATATGATCTCCGTAAATTGTTTATTCATTCATTTTAACTCTTCTACTGTTTTAACTTACGTGCAGTAGTTTATCAATATATCAGGTCATCCTATAAGTTCTGTCCAAATTTTAACTTTTTGTTAAAATAAACGAAATTTAAAGAGTATTTTATAATGTCTAATGGAACTGAACATTATTTTTATGTTTAGATGCATTTAAACTGATCAAATTTTATTTCAGAGAACAATAAAATTAAATTTTGTTTGATTAAAACCCTGCTAACATGGAAGTATCCAAGAATCATTTGAGGCACATAATGCTTTATGAGTTCAAGAAAGGAAACTCAGCAGCCGAAGCGGCTAGAAACATTCACTCAGTTTATGGAGAGTAATGTGTGAATGAAAGAACTTGCAGAAGATGGTTTGCAAAATTCAGAGGTGGAGATTTCACCCTTGAAGATGAAGATCGAACTGGACGTCCAGTTGAGTTTAATGAAAAGCTTCTTGAAGCAGCCCTTGAAGAAAATCCTGCTTTATCAGTTGACGAATTGGCAGTGGTTCTCAGTTCAATCATACAACTGTTCATCGTCATCTTCAACAACTTGGAAAAGTTCCTAAACTTGGAAAATGGGTGCCTCATGAATTGTCTGAAAACAACTTCAAATCCCGAGTTGACATTTGCTTTTCTCTCCATTCTCACCAACTTGTTTCACCTTTTTTGGATAGACTTGTGATTGGCAACGAAAAATTAATCTTTTATCGAAATGTTATGCATTGTAGACAGTGGCTTGGTAAAGGGGAAGGCCCCCAGCCACAGCCGAGAAGGGAACTTCATGGGCAAAGGGTTCTTCTTCCAATCTGGTGGGATCGCCAAGGAATAATCCACTTTGACTTCTTACAACCTAATGCAACAATTAATGCTCAAATATACTGTCAGCAATTAGAGTATTTGAACCAAGCTTTGAGGAAAAAAAGATCTGCTCTAGTGAATTGAAAAGAGGTGATGTTTTATCAGGACAATGTACGACACCACACAGCAAGAATCACATCACAAAAGATCGAAGAACTTGGTTGGGAGAAAATTCCTCATCCACCTTATTCTCCCGATCTTGCTCCTTCTGACTACCATTTGTTTCATAGCTTACAGAATCATTTGGAAGAAACAGCTTTTGTAACACAGGAAGAGGTTAAAACTGACATTTGTGAGTTCTTCAAATCAAAGCCAAAAGAATTTTACAGTAATGGAATTAGTAAGCTTGTTAATAGATGGAAGGAAGTCATAGATAATCAGGGAAAATACATTGTTGATTGAATCTGTAATTAAATGTAACATTTAGTCACTTGTTTTCTTTATTCAAAATTCGGACAGAACTTATGGGATGACCTGATATATATATATATATATATATATATATATATATATATATATATATATATATATATATATATATTTTCTTATTTGAGGATATCCGTCTCTAGGTGGCTAGCCAGTCCCATACACACACATATATGTGTGTGTGTGTTGTGTTCATCATTTTTCATATATATATATATATATATGAAAAAAAAAAAAAATATATATATATATATATATTTATATATATTTATATATTGCATATATTGCATATATTTTGGCAGTATGTTATATTAGTTGCATGTAAAAAGTTACCAGCACCTATTTTTTGGAAAATAGAAAATAAATAAACAGAAGAAAATTGGGTTTTTAAGAAAAACTCAGGAAACTAATATATTCCAAGTGTTATTGACATATCATTGATTTTGTAGCTGTATTCACCATTTTGTCATATTCCAGTTTCCTTTATTCAAAGATGGTAAATCTCATTCCATTGTTTTCTTTTGTCTTTTCACTTCAAGACCAAAAGCTCAATTCCTGCCACTTCCAGCTATTCCACTGTGTCAGGTCGCAGTGATGTCTCATTGTACCATCGAACAAACATCACCATTCCAGACAATAGCAGCTACTTCTCTGGACTTTCTCCTTCCTTAGGCAGTGGATACCAGCAGATCACTTCTGTCAATAACTACAACAGTTCTGGTCAGGAACGTCGCATGGTACTGACCAATGGTCAAACATCAACAGCAGTGACATATCACAATTTGAGTTCGACCCCTAATCAAGCTAATTGTAAAGCAACTGCCAACATTGAAAAATCTTTGGTAAGTCAGGAATTATATTTTTAAAATTCAAGCTCTTATATTTAGTATATATACTACCAAAGCAAGTACATTTAAGCCATTATATTTGATGACATGTTACTCTGACACCCACCATTCCTGTTGTGGATATTAATACAATCTTAGTGTAAGTATTTAATATAATGGGAAAAAAATATATATATAGATATAGTAAAGGTAAAAACTCTGTTTAGGGTTAGAAAATGAATGCCTCTGGGTATAAAATCTGTTTCTATTTTGCTATGGAAATACCAATGTAAACATTATAATTTTTCATATTTTCTTTGGGGGAAATGATATATAAGCCTGGTAGATTTATATTTACCCTCTACTGGACAATTCTCTTTAGATCTACAACTACAGGAGGGTTCAATACTAGGTTTGTTGATTGTCCCATAGAAATTTTTTAAAATATGGTTATTATGTGAGTGAATAATTTTATACACGTTGTTGGTACAGATGTAGCTAATCTTAATCATTTTCCTATTGAAGATCTTACTTAGAGGGTTATTTTTTGAAAGTGTTTATTTATTAACTTTAGAAATTACTGTCCAATGTTAATATTTGAGAGTTTGCAGAAGTGGAGTTGAACCATATGGTTTTTCTTTTTCTGTGTCTACATTTCACTTTAGATAATTCTGCGTTATTTATAGGGGTTAGATAAGATAATTTATTTTTGTAACCACTTTTTTGGAGAGCATATTAATACAATTTTTTATTTCTATTAAAAATGCTTATGTAGAATGATAATTGACTAATCCTAGTGCCAATGGTTGATAGGTATCTGTTTCATAATGGCATTGGGGTGGTTAGAATTAACATTAACATAAGTGAGTGTTTCATTGTCTTTATGGTATAGTTTAAACATTTTATTATTGAGTTTAAGGGTGATGTCTAAATAATCAACTATTTTAAGGTTAAAGGAAATCTCAATCCTAAATCCTAGTAATTTAAAGGCTCTAATGATTTTCTTTTGGATTTTTGCAGTCAGTAGACCAGTACTATTGGGGATGAACATGAGTCCATCATCTCTGTATAGGCCTATCAATTTGAGACCTACTATTCTACTAAGGGTATCTAAAATATGAATACATACTAAATCAGCAACCTGAGCTGGATCATATGCACCCATAGGGACATTAAAGTTGTTGATGTGTGTGTGTGTGTATATATATATATATATATATATATATATATATGTGTGTGTGTGTGTTGGAAAGTGCTCAATATCAGTGATAGAGCTAACATATTTAGTTGGATTGATGTGAGTTTGTGGCCCTGGCTCACAAACTCACATCAACAACAGGGATCTGATTGTAAGATGGAAAATTTTAAAAAAGGCAAATCCTTACAACAACAATATTTTCAACCTCTGTCAGGAGGGAAAATCAGCAATTATAACATTTCAGAATCCCAGAAACATTTTAAACCAGAAATCTGAAGTCTTTAGTCCCTGCTTACATTTTGGAAAATTCCTCTTAAGCACATATGAGTCTGGATAAAAAAAAAAGAATGTACATTTCATTTACCACCCCAACACTGATACATTTACAGTACCCTTGCTTTTCTTGTCTTCCCCCTTCTTCTTCACGCCCACCCCCTCCTTTTCTATTACACCCAACGACGTGCATTTGTTTATTCATTTTTGAAAATAATAATATAGTGCTCATTATTTTTTTTTTTAAATAGTGTCAAGAGGTCATTTGATAATGATAATGAGGATACCATAAGGTTGAAACCAAAAGGTAGCAGATTCAACTGAACTCCTGATTTTTAAAGTTAAAAGCTCTACATGTTATTTTTATTTTTTCACACATGTATTGCTCACTTTTTAATATTACTGTTTCCTGGTCAGATTCAACTCTGACCATTAACCTTTTATATATATATATATATATATATATATATATAGTCTCAAGCCTTGAATGACAACCTTCCTAGAGATGGTGCCTCAATAAAAACACTCATTGTACTTGGACTACAGTGAGTGTCTGAGTTAGGCATCAGGAAGAGCAGCAACGTAAAAACTCACCTCCAACCATTATGACAAATCCTCTGTCAGGTAGGACCCACCTTGCAAGATTAATCCCAGTCCTGCTTAAAAAAATAAAACACCTTTTTTTGTGTGTGTCTCTCTCTCTCTCTCTCTCTCTCTCTATATATATATATATATATATATATATATATATATATATATATATATATTTATGATTAAAAATTATAGAGATCCCTTATATAAAACAAGCCAAGCATCAGCCTCACTTTATTTCACAATAGCAGCAATGTGTTGGGAATCTTCTAAGAAGACACGTCAACATAAAAACATAGCCACATTCTCTCAAACAGCTAAAGATTACTACTACTTGTATACAATACACTTTACAACACAGACATTAAAACTTTTAACAATAAACCTCTTGAAAATGGCTAATGAATTGGTAGAAAACACTTGGAACAATAATAATTATGTATAGTTTCTGCACATTTTAGACCTTCCAAAAAGAAAACTGTCAGAACATTAGAAGAAATTTTAAGATTTTCAATGAAACATGTAAACAAGAAAGGTTGCTGGCCAAATTATATATTTGTTCCCCATATATGTATCATATAAATCAGTTAGATGTCTTCCACAAAAGTTGTCTCCACGCAATCTGTGGCTATACATATCTTCTTATGAAATGCAACATTGGTGGAATTGAGACTTTCCTGATGCAGTCACAACTTTGCTGCGTTGGTCATTTTGCAAGGATGAGTGACAACAGAATATCTAAGGTGCTCATGTATAGCCAGCTTGACAGTGGATAAAGGACTGTTGGACAGCTGTAAAGATAAGCTAAAGAGGTGTAAAGATAAGCTAAAGAGTAAACTCTCAGCTGTCAATTTGCCTCATATTAAGTTTGAGTAAGTTTCCCTGGATAGAAATAGCTGGAGATTTTTGTGCCGGAATGTTATCAGAAATTTTGAAATCAATCATACTGATTGGCTAAGAAATGAAAGACAACAGTGGAAAGTATCAACAAATATTCCTGTGGCTATGTTCCAAGAAGATCCTTGCTGCTGCACAATATGTGAACTTGTATGCAGGTCACCAGCAGGACTGAAATATCACATATGACACAAACATAAAAATTGAATGAGATTATCAGATCCTCATATGTTGAAATTGACATAAGAGTCCATCATATATATATATATATATATATATATATATATATATATATACACTAAGAAGAATTATACATTTGTTCCTCAATGTATAATTATTCATACTGTAAACTTTAACTCTGTTATTTTACATCAAGCACTATTTTATTATTACTACCAACAACCATAATGCACTATTATACATACATACAAGGTGTGATGAATAAATTGTCATCTAAATTATGCAAAAATGAAAATAACACTGACATCTCATTTTAACAGATTACTAAAATTATACAAAAATATCTTCAAATACTAAAGTAAATTTATTCATAGAATTGTCATTGGCTTCAACCATGGTCTTCAGATGACTTTGGAATCTCCTGCAACTCTTCTGGACGGTCTCCTTGTTTAAGTTGATGAATGCTACCATAATCCTTGCCTTCAGTTCATCTTTGGTGTTACAAGAAGTTTTGTTAGTCTCTTGCTCAAATGCGACCAACACATATTAATCAAGGGGTTGCAGTCTGGGAAGTTAGATGGCCAAATGTAAGTGGTGATGTAGTCACAGAAATTGTCTGACAGCCATGACTGGATTCTCCTGCTTGTGTGGCATGATGCAGACTCCTGTTGCCAGACCTTCCAGAAGCCAACCTCTTGACTCAAGGCAGCCCTACCTCCTCAAGGCACTTGATGTTGGCCTCTGTGTTGAGTCTGAGGCCCCCACCAACAAATTCCTTATCAGAATGAGTTTTCCAAGCTGCCATAGCTTTGTAATCACCATTAGACTCATCCATCTCTTTACAGATTAACACCTAAACACTCATGAATGCCAAGCAGTACAACATGCCGTTTTCAAAATTCTGGAGGAGTGAATTGCCTCATGGTGTTCTTTTTTCTCACAGACAGTGCCCAACTGAAACTACTATACTGTACAGTTGACAAAATCAAAAACAACACAACTGAAATTAAAAATATAAAATGGTGAGAATTTGCCTATTGCACCATATATATATGTGTGTGTGTGTGTGTGTGTGTGTGTGTTAGAGTTTAGTACAAAAAATCTTGAACAAAATACATCATTTGAACCAAAAATGACACTCAGAGAGTAGAAAAAAATATTTCTAATATTGTTCATTTTTTGGAAAAAATCTAATATAATATTTCTTCCCATGTAAATCTTCTTATAGATGCATTAACTTGTAAATGCCTGCTGTAGAGTAATTTTAACAAGCTAGACTCCTGAGATCACTGCTTGTAGTTTTTGTAATTTATGCACTTTTAGGACAAAGCAATCATGGCTACAGATTTCTTCTAGACAATCTCAAAAATGAACAGAATTGAAACAACAGAAATGTGGTTCTGCTGAAGGTACCATGGACCAAACATGTGAGCAATGATGAGGTTTTAGAGAAAATGGAAACAAAAAATAAACTTATTCTTAACATCAGGAAGAAGCAGTTGAAATTTCTGGGGCATTTAATGAGGAAGGAGGGCTTGGAAAATCTCATACTCACAGGACAGATTGAGGGACAGAGGAAAGAAGCACGTAACATACTTGATGAGCTTAAAGCAAATTAATGGTAGAACAGGATTTGGGAGAAATGGCAAAAAGACAAAATTTATTAAGAGCTACAATAGATAGGAAGATGTGGAGGGCCATGATCGCCTGCGTTTTGAAGGGACATGGTACATAAAAGAATTGTCATGCATTCTTGTATAAGATCCTGTTGCTTTCTCCATGGTCTGGAATTCAGAGTTTTCCTTCTTTTAGACTGGTTGCCACCTGAGATTATAAAGTTTAATGTATGCTGCTATGAGATGGTTTGGAAAATAAT